GATCAGCCAGAGGACAATGATGTACCAAAAAATATAGATACACACGTATGAAAATAAAAATATTAAAATTAAATTTATATTTTTATGTTATTTATGTAATTTTAAAATAATGTGTTTTTATAAAATTTAACTGGGTGTTTACTGCACAAATGAACCAATGGAGAAACCGCCCCTACTCAAGGTGCTGCATTAGGTCCCTTACTGTTTTCCCTATATATAAACGGTTTGTTGGAACTCAACTTAAAGGGTAAGATTATAAGTTTTGCCAATAATTCAGTAGTTGTATACACGGATAAAACTTGAAATGAAGGTAATACTCTAGCAAAAAGATAATTCCAAATTATAAGTAAGTGGTTTTAGCTAAACACATTGACAATTAATTTTAATAAAACGAAATTTATGTCATTTGCCTCATATGCCAATAACTTGCCAACTTTCACAACACTTCATACAAAAAACCATTGTTTTATACATGTCTCGGATCAAATAAAATATTTAGGAGTTGTAATGGACCAACATCTAAAATGGAATTTACATATTAAATATGTCATAAATAAATTAACAGGAATATTATCTCGTTTAAGATATTTGAAATCTATTTTAGATATAGGACTTTTAAAAACACTATATTTCTGTCTTGTGCAAATACATTTAAATATGGCTTACTAGGATGGATGAAATCTATGGCGCCCACATGAGGTACTTAGATATTATCCAAAAAAATGTCTGGTGATTTACTTTAACAGTCATCCAGTCATCTAAAATATTAGATATGAGATCACTGTTTTTTCAGAAAATAGCTATAAACGTTTTCAAAAACAAAGAAATAATAACAAAAGTTGATCATCCATTAATACTAGATATAAAATAGATGGTTATCAGTTACCTCGTAGAAAAAAGAAACTAGGTTGTGGATCATATTTATATTTATCTTCAAAGGTGTATAATATACTTCTCACTGAAAACAAAAAGCTTAAATTCATTTACAAAATCGTACAGTTCTTGGATATTGAGTCAGCCTAGGCAAATAGTGCATGACATTATAAATTAAAATATATAAAACATGGTTTAGTTAATGCAAGTATATCAATTATTGAAATTTTTCTAAAACACTAAATTAGGCTTTTAGTTACCGATTATGTCTTCATTCTGATATAGACAAAACATCAATCAATAATATAGCCACACACAAGTATAGGTACATAGCTTGCTAAGCTTCCTTCAGTTCAGTGGTTTCTTCCTCTTGTTTATTAGTACCATTAACTTATGTATTTTTTGTGTTTTAATTTTTGTGTATTGTTATTTTTATTAATAAACTTATTTTTATTATATTATAATATTAAAAATCAATGTAGGATGTTACGAAAAATTCATGAACAACTATTATTTCTATCCTCCTTAAAAAAATAAATTATTTTGGAATGAATTAGTCTGGCTTTAATTTCTAGTGATTAAAGCACGCAAGCCTTCTCACCACGTCAAGGTTACATTCCTAGAGAAACAAAACAGGAAAAATATCATGTTCCTTTCCAAAATAACGTGAACCAACAAATACGTGGTTTAATAACGTAAAAATATAACGAAAATGGAAAATTAAAAGTTATCAGAACTATCATCTTCACTTGACGTGGCATTTAGGTTTATAATGCAAGAATAAGTCGGAAATACTTGATGGTTATGTTCAACTTTGGTAACATGGAAAACACAATAGGGCCATAATTCTTAAAATATACATCCAACAACTTCTCTGATAACATCTAAAGCTGTAGGTGGAGATGATACGTCCATTTTGTCCAAAAACGCGGAAATTATCTCTTTTCGAGCTTTTGCTTTTGGAATTTCACTAGTTAAACGAGAGTGGTAAGAGGAATTATCCATTACTACTACAACATTTGGTGGTAAGTTAGGAATTAATTGTTCGCCAAACCATTTTTCGAACAAGGTAGATGTTATATATCTTGGTGATAATCTGCGGAATCTGCACAAACCGTTTCCATAACCGGCATGTAATATTATAATACGTTATCTTCTATTTGAAGGAGCATTTTCAGGACATTTAGCAAATCGATCATCTTTTTTTCACAAGATCGTGAGGGTCATACCAAGTCTCATCAAGATACACTATGAATATATCTTACCGACGAGCTACTTCTATTTTGGTAAGGTATTCATTACGTACATTTATAATTCTTTGAGATTCCACAATATGCTGCCTTCTATTTAAGGTACGATATCTATAATGAAAAGAATGGAGAACTTTTCTAGTGGTTTTGTCAGATTTGTAAGGGAAACCGGGAATTAACCTAATTTCATTTTTAATCTTTTGAAAAGACAGCACAATATTATTAGAATAAAAATTATAAACCTTTATCCTAATCAATGAGTAGACTGAGAGTGATTTACACTCTATTGATGAAATGAAAGTATTAAAGGAACAAAAGTGTATAAAAAATTTAAATTTTTTTTTTAAAAATTCGGCTAAGCGCAGAGATTAGGGACATAAAGATTGGAAACGCAACGACCGCAGCAACGATGGCGTCATCTAGCGTCTCAGATGTTAACTACAGGTCTACGTCGTTTGTAGAGAGGCCAGTGTTGCCAAATGTTTTTTTTTAGAGATCGTACAAGTAGAGTAGAAAAATGGTATTTCGACAAAAAAATTGTACAATAGATACATGCATAGCATAATATAACTTATGTGGAATGAAATAAATTAAAAAAAACTTTGGCATGATAATTTATTTATCTATTTATAGAAATGTTTACAATGAAAAAAAACTAAATAAAATACATGAAACTTTAAATTAACACATTTAAAGTAATCAATGACTGTCACTTCAAAGTGATTGAAATTTTGCATACAAGCTTTTCTTATGCCGTGATATTCGGTGTACAAAATCACCATGGTGAAAATCACGATAAGTTAGAACGAAAATGACTTCCTTTAGAAGTTACGAATGGCCTATGAATCTTTGCAAGTAGTTTTTGATTTTTATTGTTTTATATTCTGAAGTTGTTGCAGATATTTAAATAAACCTACTAAAAAAGTGAAGATCGTATTTTTACGTACGATCTCACTGATGCAATCGTACATCGTACAGAGAGTTAAATTTTGAGTTCATGATTGTGTTATCCTCTAGACTCTAGATGAACTAAGCGAAATAGTTGTGGCTGTTTTTGTGTGAAATTTAAGGACAATAATTACATTTTGTAATATTACAATAGGTCGGAGAACGTATTGCATTAGTAACACATGCCACATGAACAAATTTAACAACCCCAATGTGGCGTTCTTTAATTAACCAAAGTAGGTAAGATCTATTTATGTAAGTAACACAAATGGTAATCAACTTTTGTCACAAAGTAGGTGTTTATGTATTATTTATTATTTTAGAACAATAAAATAGCTTCAAAACATCGTTAGAAAGAAGATTTGATATAGGAAGAAAAATATCTGAATTCCCATTATTGAATTTGCACTCAACATTTTTAAATAAGATCCCAAAATAAAACAAAAATGCAGTGTTACAAATAAAAATCAAAAATTAAAAAATATTTGTCATGAATAATTAATCGATATGTAAGTGTAGTATTTTTTTAATAAATAATTTAGCGTACATTGTTTATTTACAAGAACATAAGAGTGCAGTCGATATTTATGCAACCTTTATTATCAGATTTTTAAATTTCCCGCTGCGTTGTTTGATATCGATGTAAGCGCCACATAGTGGGTCAGATGTTAACTGCGATAGAGTTAGTCGTTGTTAAGCATTGGCTTCTTATGGGCGTTTCCTATCTTTTTCTCGCTTATCTCTGGCTAAGCGCTTTCAGCAATAAAGCCATCTTCAGAGCCGTCGTTATTCATACCTTCCACATGGAGTCAATCAAATGAAACATTTTAATTGGTAACAACAAATATTATAGCTACACATTTAGGGGCGGTAAAGGTACCTAACCCCAATTGGTTAATTAAAAGTTAAATATTAATGTTTACGATTGTTCATCAATCAGAAATATAATTATTTACATATCTTCAGGGATTACATTATTTTCATTACTTTTAAAAGGCCTCCAAAAAGCCATTTATTTATGAATCAAAAATTCAAACAGGAATTTCAATACTACACTGGATAAACAAACACTGTCCACTTAATACAGTGATGATACAGCCAAGTGTGGCGAAGAACCAATTAGAACATAAGTTAAGCAAAATCACAGACTTACGATTGGATATCCCAGTCTATGTTGATCGGCCTTTATTACGGGCTACTACAAATAAAAATTTGAGAAATGCTCGGTTCAGCCAATGAGAGACGCTAAAATTAAGCTATTTATCATTAATCGAGCACATTTCGTTCTCATCGATACAGCGATGTCAGGCAGAAAATATTTATGCGAAAATATCTTCGAGCATATTTGCTCGAAGGGTATTATGCGCTAAACGTACACAGTCGTTTAGCTGTAATGGAATTGAACGCATCACTTTTTTTTTGCAGTTTGACAACTGTGTTTTCTAAGTTTGAACCTTAGAGGTATCTTTGTGAATTATGTATAGATATATTAGTAATACTCATATTTAATTGTGGAATAGTAAAACTTATCTGTGTCGCCGTCTATACAAGGTTGCGCCACGCACAAGTCATTTGGACTATACTTACAACTTACCTTAAATGCGGAAAGTATTTCCATTTCAAAATTAAACTCAAGTTGTCAACGTCGCTTTAGACGCAATTTGATTATATTCTTTTGAATTTTAAAATTCGGATATGATGATCTTGAAAATGTATTTAGAGATCGTCGACTACGAGGACTCCAACTAAAATTAATTAAAGAAAATTTCAAGACACGACCAATTTAAAACTATTTACGTGGCGAATAGAATCTTCAATACATGGATTATTCTAAATTAAAGATATTAATGCACAAATGCATTCCTATAGTTTTTATCACATTTTAATAGAGAACAAAATTTTTATTGGATATTTTTATTTATGTTTCAGAGGCTATGCCATTTAGCGTCTTCGACATGGAACACATGCACCCATGGCTAAGCGTATACCTTATGAATCATTTCGGTACCGTTGCAGTTAACAAAACTTTCGAACATCCAAACTTCAAGAAACTACTAAACGAAAAATTCGACTTAATTATTATAGAACAATTTAAAAATGAAGCAATGAAAGTTCTGAGCTGTCACTTCAACGCTCCACTGGTAATGTTTAGTACCATCGGTGCGAACGTTTGGGTCAACACAGATACTGCCAATCCATCTCCGCCATCTTATGTACCGGACCTTTTCTTAAGTTATTCGAGTAAGATGAACTTGTGGCAAAGGACTTTCAATTCGTTGACGAAGCTGTTTCAAGTATTGAACAACAATCTGGTATTTTTCCCCTCTCAGAGGAAATTCGTGCAACAATATTTTCCGAAATGTGCCGATTACGAATTTAATAACGTAAGTTTATATCTGCTAAACTCGCACGAAAGTACCTCGGAACCGGTACCGCTGGTACCCAGTATGATCAATATCGGCGGCTTCCACATCAATCCGCCCAAGGAATTACCGAAAGATCTCAAGGAGTACCTAGATAACGCGAAAGATGGCGTTATCTACTTTAGCATGGGTTCTAATATTCCGTTTTCTCAAGTCAAGCCCGAAATTAAAGACACTTTAATTAAGGTGCTGGGGAAATTGAAGCAGAAAGTTTTGTGGAAATACGATGAGGATACGTTGCATGGAAAGCCTGATAATGTAAAACTGGGAAAGTGGTTTCCACAATCAGATATTTTGGGTAAGTTCAGTATTTGATGGTTAATAATAATTTTAGAATTTGCATTTGGGTCTTCTAATTTTGTTAACTATGCGATACCTACACCTGGTACTTACAGGTGGTTAGTCTCTATTTTATACAGGGTATTATTTAAATACATTTAGATATTAAAGGCAAGTTAATATTCATTCTCTTCTAGAATGTGCAAAAATATTATTTAATAAAATACCAATAATTGAAGGAGTAATGAAATTAAATTAAGCATACGATACTAGAATTAATTGGAATTGGTTATTTCGAAAATGTGGGTCACCTGAGGTCATCGACCCCGTATACTTCAGTCACAGTCTCTGTCTGTAAAATAAATCTCGATATTCCAGTTGGGAACTACCCTTTCAAAGGAGTATCTAAGAACAATTTATAATTTTATAATCGTACATGTCATATACAACCATTGTTGAATAAATGCTACTACAGTGTTGAAGACTATCTGCAGGACAAAACTACTTAAACGTTTGTAATACTATTGTTCATAAGATGTTTTGGCTCCACGATAAAAAGTGCAGGACAAAATGGCGCAGGACAAAATGGCACAAGAACAAAATAGCGCAGTACAAAATAGCGCAGGACAAAAGAGGGCAGGACAAAATGGCGCAAGAACAAAATAGCGCGTAAAAAACGACATGTTTTTCCATTTTATGAAATTCATTGAAATAATGCGTAAGAGTTACTATTCCAATGACGCCTATATAGAGAATCTTTGAAGTGTAGCTCCATCTATCTCACATTTTAGAATCCGGCCCATTTTAGCCCGAAACAATTTGGCGCGGCAAAAAGTTGCTTCGAAAAATGTATGCCGTGATAAATACATGATAGACAAGTTGGTGCCTGATATTATTAATATTATTATTATAAACAGAACATCATATCCGTAGAACACTTCTGTTTACTATTATAAAATAGGTGCAATGTTCAAGATAATAATGACGACATTTATTGTAATAAATTTTTGTTTTAGTTAGGTTACTTCATTTTTTTGAATATATTTGAATTGGCCATTTGTCTATATTTATCAGTATTAAATTAAAGTTAACGAATTGTGTTTTTTTTTTATTAGGTGAATCTTTTATTAAAATACAGTCCGCACTATATAAATTCTTCCAGTCGGATTTTTGATCTAGTTTTATTTTATCAAGGTTATAGGAATGACATATTTTTAATAAAGTCTTAACAACTTTAATCTCTACTTTAACCTTGTCCTTTTGCAGATTTGTTTTATTAGGAATTTGACATTATTGGGCGAGTACGGTTAGGTTGGTGTAACAAACATTTTTAAATTTTGAAATTTAATGCCAAAATTGGATCCTGTCTTTTTCGGACATTATACACTTTTGTTACTTTAAATACGTATTTCAATAACACTTTGTATAAAATACTGGTTTTTTTGGAGTTTCCAATTATATTTATTTGCAGCGCATCCAAATGTCAAATTATTCATCACTCATGGAGGATTACTGAGTACCTTGGAAACAATTTATCATGGAGTACCGGTACTCACTTTACCTGTGTTCGCAGATCAAAAACTAAACGCAGCCAGAATGGAAACTCTTGGTTATGGAGTGAAACTTACGTTCTCGGCTCTTACCGAAGAAGATTTGACTGAAGCTTTAAATAAGCTATTAAACGATCCAAAGTAAGTAAATAAATCATTACACTGGTGACGTAACGCCATTTACATATATATTATGAGTTGGCTTTCAGACGCCCCGACACCACGTGATCAATTCAAATGTCAGTTTTGTTGGTTAACTCCAATGAACTGGAGTAGAATGAGTTGAATGAAAATAAACATGTTGTCACAGATCTCTGCATGTTGGATCAATAGAACTAGGTGCGACCAGTGTTGCCAGTCTAGAACAATTGTACTAGATCTAGAACATTATTTAAGAATCTGCTACTCTAGTTCACTAGAAGCAAATTCTAGTACTTTTTTTTATCCTGATTCCAGTTGACCGGTAAAATATATTGCTGGGCTCTTCCTTGTTTGTGTTCGTCCCCGTAAAAACTTTTTTGTTTTTTGTTTTTTTTTTGTTGGCTTTTTTGTTCTTTTTTGTTTTTTTGGTTTGTTTTTGTTTTTTTTTGCATTTCAATAAACCAAACCATCACAATTCGAAAAGTATGGTACAATTTATAGAATCTGGTACATTTTCATGGAATGTAGTACATTTCTCAGATAAATCTGGCACGTAACAAAAATATATTCTGGCAACACTAGGTGCGACTCTATAGGCGCAGCCATTTTTATCTCACTCGGGAATATTTATAATCATTTTCTGTTTCACATTGTTACTGTTTCTTCCGCAATCTGGTGGATCAGATAACAACAATGTGAAATAGAAAATGGTTATTAAAATATTCTCGAGTGAGACTAAAAATAAAATGGCTACACCCATAGAGTCGCATCAAAAGCATATTAACGAGCATTCTACCCCACTCTTGTTCTTGCTCAGCTCTTGTACTAACATCAGTCTTTCTCGAAGTAAATATCCTCTAAGAAAGTAAACACTGAAAAAGTTTTTTATGATTTCTGATAGGCTTTTATATAATATATGTGGACCCTATGTGTTGTTTGATAAATAGGGTAAAATATGGAATGTGACGGTCAAAATACCAGTCTTTTGAGTGGTAAAGAGATCCAAGTAGATTTTTTGACATGGTGCAACTATGATATCATACAAAGAAGTTATGCTATTACGCCGATTGATACTACGTCACTGTAAAGTGTTGTGGTAGGAAGGTGTGGCTTTTACGAATTTGAGTTATTAGTTGATTTAAAAAAAAACGCGCGAAAATAAATTTTAATCCTCTCATGACCAACCACAATACGTCATGCGCAAAGTTGACAAGATTTCGTCGGCTAAGTATATCTCTGTATTTTTCTATAATATTATGGATGCAACTACCTAGCAAGGACCATTTACATCAACTAACAAATGTAGTTCCTTAAAGCAAGGGGTCTATGTGACACTTGGATCCCTAATAAAACCATTGAAGTTATTTTATTTTCCATTGGGCTCCAAAGCAGTTACGCAGCGAGGTTAAACCCCCCCAAACCCAGACGCGAACCCAGACGATTTTAAAAGTAAAAAAATTAAACTAGGTAAAACATTATTATATTTTTTAAATACTTCCAAATTTTTTTCAAAACACCCCAATACAAAATTCTGGCTGCACCACTGCTCCAAAGTGTAACATGAATAGTTGGTTATTTTGTCTATTTTGATATGTGTTTGAGCTCAATTTATAGGGCGTGGGTTAGGTTTTTAAATAACTCGAGTAACTTTGAAAAAGAAGTTGGGAACCACTATATTTAAAGCTTATACATTTAACTCTAGATTAGTGATAAAAATATAGAAAATCACTAACCACTAACAAATTATACTTAAAACATGCTTTAGATAAGGTAGGTACCAAATTCTAATTCACATAAGTTTGTATATAATTCAAATTTGAAACAATTTACTGATCAATTTCACTTATCTTTTTGGTAAATAAGGTAATATACGGAATTGGTAAATTTAAGGTTAAATCAGGTATTTCATCCTTCGCTCCAAACTGTAGAGGTACATAACATTATACCCCGGTCAGGCAACTTCCACCAAGAGATTCGGGATCCTTATTCATAATTTTCATTTGTGACTGCACCGTGAATAATCTTCAAGATATATGATTCTATTTATAGTGATTGAATCGTCAATGATCTTCAAGATAAATTGTATTTAAACTCAAAACCGTCTAGAGATAAAACGTGAATAATCTTTGATCTTCAAGATAAATGGTTCTTATTATATTTAAACCCAAAACTGTCTAGAGATGAAACCGTCTATAGATAGCCATCATCTAAAAAGGGTTAAAATGTTATAATAGGAGAAAGAAAACTTAAAAAGGATTTAGATAAAATGCTTTAACTATTGAATGAATAATTTTAATATGAAAAGGAAAAATCTTATTTAATATATTTAAATATAGTAAAGCATAAAAAATAATATATAATTTTATACAAAACTAACTAATGTGTCATTTATTGCAGATATAGAGGTTATGTTTAAAATTTGACAATTTGTTCAAGAAATCCTTGCACAAAATATATATATTTAATAACATATTATTAACAAAACATACCTTATAAAATTAGACGGTCATTAACATAAATAACCATCATTTAATACATCGAATGACCGAGATACAATCAAAATTGAAGTGACCCAATCTTCGCTGTGTGTTAGATCAAAATCAATGTTACTTTCTCTGACACAAAGCATATAGAGGACAAATTACATTTGAGTAAGAGGTGATTGTGTCGAAATAACGAAATATTGGTTCTAACGGTTACAAAAGTCAAGGGGTTCAAATGCTGTCTTCTTGAAACCCAAGGGGTTTAAATGCAAACATCAATTTAAAAAATACAAAACGCCAAAAAAAACTGTAATTTCCTGAATAAGATTTATGAATACAAAAATAATGGTATTTTTTCCATTCCTTGGAACAATAATTTTCCTAACTTTGATTTACTTAAAATGAAAAAATTGTCACTTAAATCCGTTGTGTTCTAGGGTCCCATACTTATTAAATATTGTTGAATAGATCATAATATATACTATTTGAAAAATTTGATTTATCTGCGAGAATAGAATAAATGCCTTGTCTATTATTCTCGCTTTCTACCGATAGTATACGGACATATTCTGCATCGTAATTAGTGGGGCGCCATGTTATGGGCGCAAACAGTTATTGGACAGTGGAAGGTTTAATTTTATAAAAAAATATTCGGTATTTTTATTGTATTTACAATTTTTTTAAGAAGGGAGGGCTAGTGCTATTTTTTTAAATTTATTAGCAAAATAAAAAATATATTTCTAGCCCTCTCTTCAGAATTAGATCTTAAATTGATTATGAAAACCGTATCCCTCTAAATTTAAAAATTAAGATGCTGTCGTTCAAAAAAATTTGTGTTTAAGGATATTTGTTTTCAAAACAAAACCATTTTTGAAATAAGTAATTTATTCCATAAATTTGCATAAGACTATATAGACATATTTCCAAAGATTTCCTTGAAAAAATTCACTCATTTCTGAGTATATATTTTTCTTCTTCTTCTTCTTCTTCTTCTTTTTAAGGGTCACTTTGGATTTAATTCAGAGCCGTCCATAATTATCGTGAATATACTCGTATCTGATAAACTATCTATAATAAATCACCCTGTACAATTTTCTGAACGCATCAAAATAAAAAAAAATATATTTTTTGTTTATTAATATAGATAGTTTTACTTTTATTAATTGTTCACATAATATATTTTAGTAGCAACGAAAAAAAACACACTCTTTCAACCACTGGATCGTTAAGATTATTAAAAAATAATAGAGCCACATAATTTTTTATTTTTCTCATTTTTAATTAATCTATTTTAAGATATGGATAATATTTGTAATGTATACATATTGTAGTTGTAATTTTTTATTGACAGGTACCGAGAAAATGCTAAACTGAGGTCAAAACTATTCCACGACCGACCCATCAAACCCATGGACGAAATGGTATACTGGGTTGAGTACATCGTTAGACATAAAGGAGCACCACATTTACAGGTAGCTGGAAAACATTTACCATGGTACCAATATTTACTTCTGGACGTTGTTCTCTTGGTGCTTCTGATCGTTACCGCTCCAATCGCTTTACTTTATATAATTTGTAAAAAAATGTGTTGTTCAGGAGGAGATAAGAAGAAACAGAAAAAGAAATCGAAAAAAGAATAAATAATACGTTTGTTTGTTTTTAGTTTATTCTTTTATTTTGCCTAATACCTACACAATTTATTTTGGCTTCATCTTTCTTTTCAAAAGGCAATTTACATTGTATCTAGCATTAAATAAGTTCTTTACCTACATCTGATGGCCAGTGTATTGTATACCTTGGGGTATGCGCCAATGTTCAAACTTAGGACTTAACTTTCTCCTACAGTTGCAACGAGCCATCAATAAAAATTATAAATTGTATTGGCTGTAAAATTTAAATGTTTTGCATTGGTACTCTGGCCACTTCCACACAGGCCCGTTCCTGGGAGGTCAAGCGCCTGCGTACAGGAATTTTTTTCCGCTCTTTAGGTATATAATTTTAAAATATAAAAAATATATTTCATTACAGAAATATACAAAAAATATATTTACTAAAGTAACAGAAAATAAACATAAACAAGAACTAGAAAAATCTAATAAACTACAAAATATAAACAAAATTAAATGTTAAATGCAGTACTATCGAAAAATTAACAACTAAAAAATTATAATAAAACTCGTCAATCATTTCATCGTGATCAATTTCTTCATAAAGTTGATTTTCAATCGAAATAATAGCTAGATCTGATGGTGTAGTGCCATTACAGACCGTCCCATTACCGACCGCGACCAAAAACTACCTGCTCGAGTGCCACTACCGCCCGCGCAGGGTTTACTTATTTTTGTATATCCCACTACCGACCACGAGATTCTATCACATAATAAATATGTTGTAGTTCTGAAAAGAACTGATTTTGTTTCAGTAATTTACATTTTAATAATTATTGATAAGGAATATTTTTATTTCGCTTTCAGTTAGAAACTATATTAAACGCTCCCCGTAACATTATTCATTGAATTCTTATTTTATTTAATTATTATTATTATTTAATTTATAATTGAACAATAAGAAAATCAATTGACCCGGTTATTTTCGTAAATAAAATTAAAAATAAATTAATAAATACGAAGATTAACAATCATAAATAATATGTGTTATGAATTGACTAATGACATCAAAACATTTATAAGTATCTAGTTTAGATGTTAAGTGCGGATTACCATACCTATCTACGTACCTGCTGACCGGAAATCACTCATCCTCATTTGCAATCAAAAATAACTTTGAATACTTACTAATCATAGGCGTCACAGTTACATCTAGAAATCAATCATATTAATACTAGCAATTGAAAGCTCCGCCCACAATTGGTCTTTTAGCCAATAATATTACTTAGCGATGAGTATAATTAGTACTTAAGGACGTAAAAGTAAATGGAGCATTCACCCTCCAAGACATCCAATATGCCTGCCAAGCAGGCATAAACACGGCCTCCGGGCCAGACTCTATACACAGAAGAACGCTGAAGCATCTTCCTGAAACGATCTTTCTCATCCTCACCCTTATCCTAAACTCCTGCCTCTCCCTATCCTATTTTCTACTTGCCTGGAAATCCGCAAACATCATTTTGATCCCCAAACCAGGCAAAGACCCCAAATCCGTAAATTCATACAGACCCACCTCTCTCATATTAGTCCTAGGGAAACTCCTCGAGCTTCTGCTCAAGGAAAGAATCTGGGAATTTTGTGAAGAAAGAAACATCATAGCTCAATTCCAACATGGTTTCAGACCCCACCACTCCATTCAGGACGCAATCTCTTCCCTTCACACTACTGCGGTCACAGCAGTAAACTCTCAACAAATCTCTTTAGCCATTCTATTAGATGTTCAAGAATCCTTCGACCAAGTCTGGCATGCCGGACTAGTCAAAAAGCTTATGAACATAGGTTTCTCCCCCTAAATCTCCAAACTCATACACTCCTACCTCTCAGACAGAAAAATCACCGTCAAAGTGGGCAACTCCCTATCAGACACATTCACCACACTCGCAGGTGTCCTACAGGGCTCCGTCCTGGCCCCTCTCTTCTACCTCATCTACAACTACGACATTCCCCCCCCCCAAACCACCCTACATCCAAATGCTTCCTATACGCCGACGATACAGCTTTAATTTCGGTAACCAAAAATTCTAACCAACTAAATACTCGATCCCAAAATCTGTTGAATCAGTACTCTCACTGGTGTAGCAGATAGAGGGTCTCATTAAATCCACAGAAAACACAGGCATGAGGCATACACAGATACTGAAAAATGCATTGCAATATGTAGAAAACGTGCTGCGGAAGAAATGACACCAATATCAAAAATATATCAAGAGGTGTTTAAAGAAGCAAAAGACAAAGGCTTAGAGTTCGTGACAAAAATTCCACAGTATGAAAGTATAAAATCATCCTTATACCGACAACGAAATAAATCTTTGGGAACACCACAACTATCAAAAACGCGTGAAGATCTTGTGATTCCTAGTCACATAAATGAAGAATTCCTAGTATTTGATGATGGTGCTGTAGGGACGCCACTGGCTACGTGACGCTCTTACAGAGGGAGTCAACCTTTCAAAATGATTTAACTAAAATATGGAGTGCTTCTCCATAGAATGTCCAATTAAATGTCGATGGAGGAGTCACAACTTGAAGAACATAATAAAATAGGACGGCACTGTTTAATTATTTACATGCGTTTATTATATACAGTAATAGTTTTATAAATCCAAACTTAGTTACACATACATTTTAAGTTACAAAAATTATTAACGATCACCATAAAACAATCATTACCGTTGCACTGGTAAACATGAATTATATATTAAAAATAAAGTTAATATTTAAATTGCGAGAAGTAGCGTGTTTTTTAGATGCTGAGTTAAAACGGAATGGCCGACACCCTGAGCCCTATCGTCCGTCGTACCCAAAGCGCGGGAGGGCAAATCTCAAGAGCCATCTGCCCAGATGGTACTAAAGTTACATTAATTCTTAATAAATGGACAAATAAAAGGTTCTGAAATTGTAGAATCGATAATTTGACCACATGTACCCTCTTCTTTGCTGGGTAGATGTCACCATGAGTAGTGTTTCCATAAATAAAACTACGAATTTGAAATGAGTGGGAAAATAATTGTCACTTTGTTCAGGGAATCTGAACATGCTGGGGGCCCGGCGCTGACCAGGTCATAAAAACAAAACGAGAGTTAACTAAAAGAGATATATACATTTATACACAAGGTGTTAGGAAAAGAAGTTGTACTAAACCTTACAGTAAATAAAAAAAAAATATACAATAGGGGAACTCATTATAATGCAACCTGAGTTTGGTAATTCTGGGGTAACGGACATAACTTCGTTATTGGACGTGTAAAGCAACCATCTGAAGTTTTAATCTTTGCTGCTCTGACTTTATTGTCAGCGCCTGTTAAAACTTCAATTATTCTGGCACGAGGCCATTTGAGAGGGCTTTAGGAGGACTAAATCATGTACCTTCAAATTGGTTAAAGGATGGAGCCATTTGGGTCTATTCTGGAGAGTGTTTAAATATTCAACAGACCATCTTCTCCAAAATGACTGTTGCATGTGAGAGCAGCGTTGATAGAAATTGAGCCTATTTTCAGGTATATGTGCAAGATCTTGTTCTGGATATGCCATGAGACTATTGCCAATGAGAAAATGACCAGGAGTTAAACATTGTAAATCAGAGGGGTCGTTTGACAATGGGCATAAAGGGCGCGAATTGAGAATTGCCTCAATTTGCGTCAGTACGGTACTCAATTCTTCAAAGGTGAGATGTGCATTTCCAATAACGCGGTAAAGATGGGTTTTAGTACTTTTAATCCCAGCCTCCCATATATCTCCCCAGTGTGGGCTAAGAGGGGGGATAAATTTCCAATGAATTTGGTTTTCAGCGGCGAAGGTTTTAATAGTGTCAGTTACCTGAGTGTTCTTAAAATAATGATAAAGTTCCTTAAGCTCATTTTTTGCTCCTACAAAGTTTGAGCCATTGCCGCTGTAAATAGTTGAGGGGTTTCCTCTTCGGGAAATAAACCGTTTAAGTGTCATGAGAAAAGCTTCGGTTGAGAGAGCATATACTAGCTCAATATGCACAGCTTTCGTCACAATACACACAAACAGGGCGATATAACTTTTCATTATAGGGGCTTTACGGAGTTTTGAGGACTTTATTAAAAGAGGACCAGCAAAATCTACTCCTACTTTTGGAAGGGTCTAGTGACTGAAATTCTGTCTTTAGGCAAGTCTGCCATGATTTGTTGAGAGGGTTGTAAATGGAAGCGAAAGCAGTTATTGCAATTTATAATAATTTTCTTAATTTCTCGTAAGCCATTTAATGGCCAATATCTTAATCTAACATGAGATAGCACTGTTTGGGCACCAGCGTGACCAAGACGTTTGTGTTCATGCGCTAATAAGAGTGATGAAACGTGATTTTTTGATGGAAGTAGAATAGGGTGTTTTTGTTCGTCAGGGATGTCTGCATTGGCTAAACGACCTCCGACACATAAAAACTCCGAGTGATTGAGAAAGGGGTTTAAAGATAATATATTTTTATTTGAAATGGACTTGTTGGCCTTGAGTTCAGAAATTTCCTTTAAAAAGTGTTGAAGTTGTAAATTTTTAATAATTAAATTTGTTGCTAATTGGACTTCCTTAACTCTTAAAGGACCTACCAATTTTTGAGTGGGATTTTTACAATTGTGACTAAATCTGTTGCAATATGCAACTGAGTGAAGGAGTCTTGAGAATTGAGAGAAACTAAGGAATACATTTTGCCAAAAATTATATAGAGGGGTATGGATGGTTTGAACAGTTTGAAGAGTAACTTTTCTCTGTTCGGGTAAATCGGGTAAGTTTATAAAAGAGTAAACTTTTGATAGGTCTAATTCAGGGTTGGTTAGAAATTGAGGCCCGTGTCACCACAGATTTGAAATTAAAATGTCTTGAGGTAACATGCCTCTAGAGAGAGGGTCAGCTGGGTTGTCACGTGATTTCACGTGATGCCACTGATTATTATTTGAAAGTTCTTGAATCTGTGAGACACGGTTGGATACAAAGGTTGACCAACGTGAGGGAGGTGCATTTATCCAGCATAGTGCT